ATTTAAAAAAATTAATTAACAATAACAACAACTATAAATAACATTAAACCATATATTATATTTAATTTTCTTTATGAGTAAATCACGGGAAGAAGTCATTCAAATGATTGAGATTATACAGTTATAATAGATGTATATATTATCATATAATTCCAAATAACCAATATATTATATCAGTTTACTATGCGAATTATCATATCAAATTTAACAACAACGTTATTGTTATATTTATAAAAAACATATATTTGTAAATATTTCAACTATATAGGTCTTTCTGCGCAACACGCGGGAATTCGCCTAGTATATAATAAAAGAGTCCAAAATACTTCAACCATATTCATTTGAAACTTACAAATTTCAACTTATCATCTAATTACTACATATCGAACGACTTTTTTAAAATTGTATTGAATATTACTTTAATAATAAAACTCTTTAATCATGCAAATAATTAACTATAACTTAAGAGTTTTTGTAACTTATGACATATTAACTGGTTTATTAGGTTTATTTAGAGTATATATATATATATATATAATCCATGGATATAGATTAGATTGTTATGTTTTCAAGAATAAGACTGAGGAAAAAAAAGAGAAGAAGACATAAAGTTCTACTTCATAGGACATAATATAAGCAACAATAAGGATGTTTGATAGACATTTCTGTTAAATAAATTATTACTATGTCTTTCGTTTTATTTTTTTTCTTCATGTTTAACTTCTTTAGTTTTTTACATATTGTTTTTTATTATTAGAATTTATGCTTTTATTTGTCATGTTAATATTATTTCTTAATTCTAGAATTTCTAATTAAAACATATTGTTTGTTGTGGTTTCTCTTTTACAAGTTTATTCTTTTGTTTATCATTTTAATATTGTTTCTTTATTTTCTAATTTCTATTTGAAATTTATCTTTTGTTGTTGTTTTATAATTTATCAACAAAACTAACATCCAAAATAATCAAAATGTTTGCAAGGAAGTGATAACCTAAATATTAGTAAGAAACAACTCGATAAGATGATTAGTATAGAAAGTTATTAATTCTAAATTAATAACACAAATATAAATATTTCTAAGACCATATATGTATTAATAATATAACTATATTATTGTAATTAACGCAACATGTATGTCATAATTTTAATCACCATAATATTATTCCTGCACAACGCATTGTTTTTTGCCTAGTGTGAACATAAAAGGAACTTAAATGGACGAACATAATTGAACGTAAACAAACAATATAAACGAACGTTCAAGAACATTATTGAACAAATAAGGCCATTTTTCATGTTTGCTCATTTAACTAAATGAACGTGAATTTGTGTTCATGTTCGTTCATTTATTAATAAACAAACATAAAAACACTTCTCACCAAACGGTTCATGAACAATTCGTTGAACGTTTGGTTCATTTAGAGCCCTAAGTGTTGATGGTTTTACTAAATTTAAGAAAAGTCACTATCAAGATGAATAAATGTATAGTTGCCAAAAATACAACAAAAAAGTATTAACAATAATCGGGTTGGATCAAATGATTCATGACATATAATCACTAATTACAAATTCGAGAACAGGGTCGTCCTGTTGATTTTGAGGGCCTGTGCAAAAAATGAAAATGGACCCTAAATATAATTTTTTTTTTATATATAAGTAAAATTCGCTAATATAATAAATTGATAAGTATTATCAATTAATGGGAATTGGGTTAGATAGACAAAAGAGACATAATTGCGTTTGCAAACCCGCTAACAAACAAAATTTTTTTCATAAATTATCTCCCTCTAACTTATAAGTTAATAAGTTAATATACTATAAAATAACAGGTAATAAGTTTTTTTTTTTTCAAACACCCCCTTAGTGGACTTATGAATTTGGTTAGAGAAAAAAAAGATGTAATTGCCGATGGGTATATGGGCTAATGGAATATGGAATTAGGTTTAATGGGAATTAACAAAGAGCTATAAAGTGAATCTGCTCACCAAATAAATAAAACAAATGATGGTAAGCCTATTAGGTTATCTCCATTAGGTTATCTCCATTAGGAACCCAACCCAATCCAATTTTTTTATAAAAAACTAATTTCTTTGTCCTTCACTTTACAACCCAACATGATCCAATTAATCACACCCATTAACAACCCAATCCAACCTTATTTTATACTAAAAAATATCAATATTGGTTTTATTTTGTAGAGAAATATAAATTATATATTTCAGGATATTTTATTTGATTTTTTTACCGAAGATTAAAAATAGTTATTAACTAAAATAGTTTTAAATATAAAAATGACTTTAAATGCCCCTATCTAAAAACGACACATGAAAGTATAAAAAGGTAAAAAGGCTCGAGCCTTTTGGTGATCTCGCTCGTTGCAGCAGCCTAAGCCACCGAGATTATTTTATTTTTCCTTTTTTTTTTTGGTGAGCCAACCTCAAATGATCACGAGTGGGGATATTCTTAGCTAACTGATCCAAAAGATTTACATAAATGTTTGTTAAACATCAAATATATTAAGGTATATAACAAATAATTTCGTGAAACTTGGCCCTATTTACACTAGTACGAAAAAATCAAGTAGTTGCACGGGACCTCCGGAGACACTCTCTAGGTCCGCCCCCGATTGTTATATTTTAATAAAAAATCATATATTAATAAAAAAAATATTTATTATTATTAAAATATTGAATGTTTATGTTTTAATTCTATATACTACTAGCATATATGGTTTGAATTCAATATCAGCAAAATTAGAACGGCATCTTGATTATCATTGTTCTTTCTTTCTATAATGTGAACAATAAGAATTTGCATTTAAATTGAGACAAAAACCTCATGTAATTCTCTTCGATCACAACAAAATGAAAAAAAAAAATATAAGAACAAATTAAAGTACATTTAAAATTGGAAAAAATGATTCATCAAATATTGCAAGAGTAAATCTATTAATACTCTTGTTAATATTTCTTGTTATCGGAGACTGTATGAGGTTTATCACTAGTGTAGAAAAAGGGTTTGAGCGAATAGAGATTTGCGTTTTTAAGGAGACGATGAGACGACGAAGCAATAATATGAGCACCCTTAACCCCTCCATTAATATCCAAAGGAACCTTGCAGTCCTTCAATGGCGAGCTCTGGAGGAAGGCTTTGCACTCTTTGAGCTCCCACTGAGCATTCTTTAAGAACTTCGTCGATGGAGGGGACAGTTTGGCTAAAAAGTAACCCTTATCATCAGCTGGGCAACTTGAGATGGAGAAAGGTGCTAATTCAAGTCCGTGTTGGTTTCTTGCCAAACAAGTTATTCTTGCCATGGCTCCTGTATGCATTAAAATAGGCAATCCATCCATTAGTTCGTGATAAATTTGTAACAAAGTTGCTGTCTTTTTGAACTTTAATACGCAAAATATATACAATTAATATTATCAAGTGTATACCTTTAAGTGGGATGAATTTAGGGCCGGATTTACAATATATTAGGCCTTGAACTGCAATCGATTTAGGAATTTCCTTCTGTTTCATCTTGTGAGGGATCTCAGGCAGCTTAGCAACTCCATAAGCAGCATCAGCAGAGGCGGAGACGATTGATAGCACCATGCAGAATAGAAAGACAACGTTGGAGGATGTGTCCATGGTCTTGGTTGTTGTATATCTTTGAATAGGAATTAGATCGGTATATTTTTGGTGATTGTGGTTGTAGACGTTTTATAGTGAGATATGTTGGAATTATTTTTTTAAATCTGTATATCTCAGGGAAATGGAAGAATGTGGTGGATGATTTATATTACATGGGAGCACGATGGCTTGTAAAAGATGGATGAGTCTCACCTAATGATCATGTACGTGTTTTTTGTAACTTAATATTTAATTATATGTTTCTAGGGACAACAATTCATTTGATTTTACTATATATTTTCCCAGATAACAGTTCATTCGATTTCAGCAAACTTTGTTTCTTAGAAAAATTTTAATCACACTGAAATGTTAAAAAGTTAGCATTATTATATAAACTATAGTACTAAATGAGCATTTAGTCAACAATATATTAACTATATTTAACCGGTTAAACTTGCATGATTTAATTCTTGGAAATCAATGAATCAATGCACACCCCAAAGTGTAGTAGTTAATCGTAGATTTAAAAACAAATTTTTTATATAACATTGGATAAATTAGAAAATAAAATGGGATTGTCTTCTTTATCTCTTTTTAAATGATTAACATAAATGGTTTTCACTACAAGAAACAAGATCATTACCGACGACATTATTAGCGGCGACGCTGACTTTTAGTAGCCACTCAAGCTTGAGTCGCCGCTAAAAGTCATTGTCGCCGGTAATGTTTTGAGGCCTAATCCGCTTTATCACCTTGTATTGAATCCCAATTGTTCAATCGATGATCTAATCCAATGACTGGGGTTCATTGTCGCACAAAGTCAATATCAGTGATAATTTGTCGCCGCAAAGGTCAAAATTGTAGCCACTAAAGTTGGAATAAAAAAAGACGCGGTAACCTTTCCTCCAGAATTGTCGCCGCTGTTGATAATTGTCGCAAGTGTAAGAAATAGCAATGTAATATTGGTATTTATTATATTTAAATGCAAGAAATAGCAATATACTTTGATAGTTTTTGTTTGTGGTTGATAATTTAACTTATAAGTTTATATATGTTGTTATTTATTATGTAGTTAGAAAATCTTCGAGCAATGCTCAATGATTTGACACGTAGGAAGGAGTTTTATGCGTTTTTTTAATTAGGGAAAGATCAAGGAAGAAACGATGGGAACGGAGATGATGGTTCGTCGGATAATTAATTTGTGTTTCTTATGTTACACTTGTTGTAACACTTTGCTACTTGTTAGAATTATAAAACTTTGGTTGTTTATTTTGGTATGAAATTAATTATAACATTATTTGATATCTAATCAGATGTTATTATGTAATTTTTTTTCTGTATTTAATGTCGTTATGTATCGGTTTTTTTGCATCCAAAATCATTGATTTAAAAAAAAGTTAAAAAATGAAAAATGTTATTACCGGTGACACATGGTATGACCGGTGACAAGGGCATTAGTGGCGACACAGGGTATTACTGGCGACAGGAGCGTTAGCAGCGACAAATATTTTTACCGGCGACATTTTGAACAATAACGACAGAATAGCGACGAGTTTTTATCGGCGACGCATCACCACTATTACCTTTACAGATGACTCTTCTAGGCTTTAGAGGCGACTTTTGTCGCAACTAATTCCTTTTTTCTTGTAGTGTTTATGATGATAATTAAAGTATTATATATACTTGTATTTATTATTAAATTTAATCTGTATAATGCTAGTCGATCACTTATGATATTTATTATTTTTCATTGATTTTAGCACATGAAATAAGTAAATAATTTTTGACAATAAAGCTTTATAACTTTTTATCATATGGTCTATTTGTTACTCTAAAAACCTTAAGTACCTGGCAAAAAGTAAAACTTGAGACTTCAATATTATAAAAACTTAAATACAAGTGAGTAATAATGAAGCCAATATGATGTCTTCATGCCCTTGATAAAAATAAATGAGTGAATTGCAATGGGATAAAAGCAAACAATAACACATGATAAACCAACAAAAAAAAGTTACCGTTAGAAAATAAATGAGTGAATCACATAAGAATAAAAGCAAACAATACCACCCTCATTTCATCAAGTGGTGTATCATAGCATCCTACTTTCATTAAGTCATTGCATTTTTAGGTTATAACTTATAAAGTCATCAGGAGACGGAAAACCGATTGGCAACCAGCCTGCATAAGCTCTTTTTGCAATACATGGAATCAGACCTACCTCCATACTCTCACACACTAAATTACTAAGGGCATCTCCAACCCATCCCCAA